TGGTCAAACAAATGGCAACTTCAAATCTCAACAAATAAATGCTCTGTCTTACATATTGGCAAAAAAAAATCAGAAAATAAAATACAAGCTGAATAGTCAAGATCTTGTTGATGACTCAAGCTCTGTAAAGGACCTTGGAATACTCACCTCTAATGATCTAAGTGCTAGAGCCCACTGCAACTACATAGCCAAAAAGGCATTAAGAGTTGTTAACCTAATCCTACGTAGCTTTTTCTCTGGTAATATCACACTACTAACCAGAGCATACAAAACATTTGCTAGACCAATACTCGAATACAGTTCATCAGTCTGGAACCCACACTACGTATCTGATATTAGCACAATTGAGAAAGTCCAGAAATATTTCACAAGAAGAGTTCTCCACTCCTCTACTCGTTGTAGAATACCTTATGCCACCAGACTTGAAATTCTAGAACTTGAAAACCTTGAATTACGCCGTCTTCGGTCTGACTTAAGCATGGTATATAAAATCATACATTGCAATGTCCTACCTGTCAATGAATACTTCAGCTTCAACCATAACAACACAAGAGCACACAATAGATACAAACTCAAAGTAAACCGCACCAAACTTGATTGCAGGAAATACGACTTCAGCAATAGAGTGGTCAATGTCTGGAATACTCTACCCGACTCTGTAGTTTCTTCCCCAAACCCCAAAAACTTTAACCTTAGACTGTCTACTATTGACCTCACCCCTTTCCTAAGAGGTCTGTAGGGGGCGTGCATAAGCGCACCAACGTGCCTACCGTCCCTGTCCTATTGTTTCTCTTATTCTTTTATTTTTCTTATATGTACCCATTTCATGTATTCACAACTATGTATACATTTATACTTATTATCTTGTAAACAATTGGCAAATAAAATAAATAAATAAATAAATAAATAAATAAAGATTTATAGTCAGTCTGTTCAGCCTTGCAGCAGCTAACTAAATGGCCCCGTTTCTTCAGTTTCTTTGCAAAGGTGGCATTTGCTGTCTGTTGCTATCTTCTTAATTCTGATTTTTCACACTTTTATCTTCTTTTAACTACCAAATTTTCATAGGCAGAAAGTTGTGACAACCAAATTAATTAAAAAGGTTTCTATTTAGGAATTCAGCATCTTAGATTACTCTAAGATTTATACTGAGCTTCTTCCATTATACTTTGTTTTTTGAGTGAGTAATAAGCCTCTCTATATTTAATGGGGTAAACTTTCAAACAATTACAGCAGGGATAATAAGTAACCCGATGCCTTCAACTTTCTACCATCTTCGATAGCAAGTGTAGTCCAAATCACAAAAGGTACTGTGTTGCTTGCCAGTGGCATATAGAGTTGCAGTAACATTAACTAATCCCATTATAGCGGTCCCACTGTTTTTTTCCCTGAGACAAGTGTAGCATCCAGAGAACAGTGAAATAGTTTAATACTATAGAAAACAACAGAATAACTTAATTATGTGTTATATCAATATATCTCACCCTGCTGCAGAAACAAACTCATAGACACATGGAGACAAAGAAGGATTACAACATGATATCACATTGTGTATGTTTTTTTCATCTGCTATATTATATCTCACAGTGTCCTGTTCCCCATCTCAACCCAAAACACACACAGAAGCAAAGAAATAGGAGTTACTCAGCTGTGATAGCAGTGTGTGCTATATTATTTTGATGCACTCTTGGCCAAACGCAAGAGCTAGAAAAGATCCTGAAAATATTTGTGCCTACAAAAAAAAAGCAGTAGCTCTTCCTGAACTATCTGTCCTATACAATGGATGGAAATAAAAAAGAGAGTAATGAAAGTGCAAACAAACAAAAACAAAGCAGCCAACAGAATATTAGCTTAAAATAAATAAACCAAAGCAAAGGATTTACTGCTGAAGACATAAGTCCAATTGACAATCTGAGAAAAGGCATACATCATAGGACCTAGCTACTATTTAGACACTATTAAGAACAATGTAAAAAAAATAGCTTCTGGAGACCATTTGCTTATATTAAAAGGAGATGGGAAAAAGTTGGGAGAAACATATTCATCCATTGTTCATGTCTGTCACACTTACATGTGTACTTGTGCATGATCAGACACCCTCACATTTCCCCCTGGCATTTGTAAACAGCCACCACTAAAGACATCATTCAAATAACAAAACAGAATGGAAGCCACACCAAATACCTAGCAATATTATTCAGTGCTATGCAAACCATGTTACGGAATAGCATCATTGGTTTCTGTCTGCACTGACCAACTGATGTTAACTCTCAAAATACTTTTTAGAATTATTATTAGGTGACAAAATGGATCGACATCATGTGTCACTAAAATTACCCGTATGTTTAATTGAACAATTACTGAAAACCTAAAATGACTTTTAAAGTTCCAAAACCATGGCTATGGAACCTACCTGTGCCATTTTGTCATTCAGCAGATGCTAGATTGAGAAAGAGGGAAGCTATTTTTACCGGCTCCACTTTTTCTTCCTTCAATACTCTTTTCCACACTGCATGAAACTGATTTTCAAGAGCACAGAGGAAACCAGAACTGGGGAAAAATATTTCCCCTATTTACCATTTCCAAAAGAGTTTCCTGAATTGAAATCCACTTTAGGCCTGTGAGAAACCAGATGATCCCACTTTCTGTCCACCAAGAATGCCAACTTCCCATATAGTTAATAGTAGTTCTCAATCTGTGGGTCGTGACCCCTTTGGGGGTTGAACGATCCTTTCACAGGGGTCGTCTAAGACCATCAGAAAACACATATAAGGTTGAGAACCACTGGTTTAGATGACACAAAAGTATTGTAAATAGTCACAAATTAGTGTGTTGGAGTTGCAACTCCCCAAAATGCTAGCTAGCACAAAATCACAGACCACCTGAAAAACATCCAAAATAGCTATAGACAATATTTTGATTTTTGAACCACAGCTGTGATACATCTAACTCTTGTATTTTTCTGATGTATGTCTGTATCATGGGGAAAAGTGCTTTTATGGGTGAGGCTGGGGTCTGAGACTGTATGTCTTTCTTTGGTATCTCAACATTCTCTAAAGCAGTCTTCCACTCCACACTCAGGGAATGTGGAATGTACCTTCAGAAGCAATGCTACAGGCAACCTCTTTCAGGACACTGAGCCCCAAAGGACTATTTATCTGGGAACTAAAGATATGGGAGAAATTTCTTTGGTGTCATGATGTACAGAACACTGCAATTGGTCATAAATGCAAGGAGGTTGCCAAGTGCCCAAATTGCAATCACATGATCATGTGGGTGGTGGAATGATCATAAGTGTGAATATTGGTGGTAAGCCCCCTTTTCTGAGGCCATAGTAACTGAATCATCATGAAATAAATGATCGTAACTCAAGGATCACCTGTATGAACATTCTACTTGCACTAATGTTGAATCTGTTTCTGGATTTGTAGAGCTCTTCTCGATTATCATATCTGTAACCCAATCTGAACAGTGATGCTACATAGCAGAGTCATCCATCAGAAAGGGATCAAAAGAGTAAAGATGGGTGTCTCTGCTACACATTTTAAGTAAATCCCCTTTTCTGGTTTCACTCTGTGTAGTCAACAGGGACACAAAGATCTTTGAGATATCTACTAAACATATTGATCTTGCGGGCTGAACAAAACCACTGTAGTTAATTTTAACTCTTGCACAAATATGTTAATTTATGGACATATTTATACAACTTTCCATCAAAGATTATCTTGCACTAAATATTTTGCTTTAAATTTTTAATAAAGTACACAAGAGGGTATTCACATTTTTCTATTTGTCTATTTTCCTTTCTGTTTTGTTTCCTTGTGGCTCTATTTATCAATCAATCAGTCAATCAGAATAGATTGAAAGGCACCTTGGAAGTCTTCTAGTCGAACCCCCTTCTCAAGCAGGAGACCCTATATCATTTCAGACAAGTGACTGTCCAGTCTTTTCTTAAAAACCTCCAGTGATGAAACACCCACAACATCTGAAGGCAAGCTATTCCACTGGTTAATTTTTCTCACTGTTAGGAACTTTCTCTTTAATTCCAGGCTGCTTCTCTCTTTGATTAGTTTCCATCCCCCCCTCCTCTTTGTGGCAGCCTCTCAAATATTGGTCTGAATATTTTCAATGTTGATGAAGGATATAAAATTAAGTTCAATGCTCCCTATGTAAATACTTTAAAAGATCTTATATATGCTGTGAATATTTAAAAGTGAATATGTTATACAGTGTAATATTTAATATGAATGTAAATGCTATATAGAGTTCAACTAGTACCTAAAATTCAGTAATGATTATTTGTATAGACATGATGTAATAACATCAACCACCCCTTGCCTGCAGGCATTGCTTGAATCTAGACACAGTTTCTCAGGTGACTGACATGTAGCTTTAGTAATAATCCTATTGCAACCACTAGAAAATCTTGCATGAGTTTTAAACACTAGTTTAAAAAAATGGCATGTGATTGTGGGTATTTTCATCCTTCTTTGAAACATGAATATTAAAACCATGAAAATTTAGAAATTAATGCTACTTTATTCTATGCCCTTTAAATCTCAAAGGTTTGTCCCTGGGTAATTCTCTTTATACTTTGATTGAAGAAAGGCTGCCTTCTTCCTCGTCTTTAACCTAAGGCA